GGAATATCCATGGAACCATTCCATAGCACAAAAGGTTTTTTTATAGTGGAAAAGGGTTTTTTACGTTCTTAAAAATAAAGGCTCCAAATTGTTTTCCGTTTTTTGTTTTTTTTCCAGCAAAACATTTTGTGCAATGGAAAGGTTCCATGGATGGTAAAGGTTCTTCATGAAACCATCTATTGGTTTGGTGAGGGGAGCACTGTAACCAATAGACCCCTTTTCAGTAGGTAAACATGGTGACTTTTTGTGGGCGGAGCTTTGGTGGAGGCAGAACGATCCCTCTGGTCACTTCACTAACGGTAGTTAGCAAGTATTGTTAGCTTGTTTAACAATGACTGGAGAAAATCCGATTTTATCTTAATGTGTAAGGTCACTCAGTGTCCAGGACCGCGATTGTTCTTTCCAAAAGTTATTTTTAACGGACGGAACCAGATTGGCCGACCCGTAGCCGCCTACACGCTCACTCAATGCATGGACGATCTGACAGGATTAACGTTACGTTACCTCAGTTGAGTGGCCTGACTTCTACACCTACCTTATAGAGAAACCAATCGTAAAGAGAAATTGAGGGCATATAAATCTTTAGATGCCTATGTGTTCCTGTACAAGACTTGTGTGTACGATCCGCAGTTCTGCCGAGACGACGACAATGTAAAGAGTGACATTACGATGTGAATATTTTCTAGAAATCACAATTCCAGATGCAGCATATTATTTTTTCATCAATTCTTGCACCAAACAACACAACAAGATGACATTTAATAAGAGTAACAATTATTTAAGCTCCTTATTTTGTAGCCGAATCTGTGCTGGTTTGTATTGGCCGCCTCCAGTTTTCACTTTGTTTTGCCTCAAGTTAGCGCCGTGACGTAACTGTGACGTCGGCGCAAAAGGGGTCTATAAAGGATTCTTCCTAGAATTGATGGTACTTGTGGAATAAGCGTTCAGTAAAACCAATTCCAGCTAGGAGAGATTTCTGCTGATCCAACAAGTGAAAGCAAAGAACATTGAGGGAAGAGAACAGTAGATTGAGAGCATTACGTATGAATTAAATTACGATTAAAGAGGACAGGGAGCTCTCCGATTAACCCACTGCTTACATAACCACTCAGGATTTCATCTGCTACAACGGTCCATCAGACAACAAAGAACATTAGAAATGGGACAGGATGATAATTATCATTTCAGGTACAAGAAAATCCCCATGTACACTGCAAAAAACATACAAGCCATTCACATTCTGAATTACTCTAGAAGCAACTGATCGCACAAAACTACTAAAAAGCAATTGGATAAGGGATGAGACGTTTTGAAACACATCCAGTTGGCTAAAATGGCTAGACATTCTGAAAAAAACTTTCAAGCTCAGCGAAATCCTTGAACCATCAAAGAATCTGATGTTTTACCAAATCAATAATACAACACTCATAAATAATGGGAAGGAATCAATGAATAAATAACCACATTTTGGATTAAATGGAGATTTTCCATGGCACACAGTAACTCCTGAATGGATCAGTCAAAAACAACAACCTTAAACACGCTTGATTGAACGGTGATCATGTATCAAACAACATTAAAGATCAACCTAAAACTGTGCAAATCTTTCAAATCTCACCTGTCCTCTCTTCCTCCTCTCGTGCACATTATCCAGGGGAAAAGATCTTCTTTTACTTGCTCTGCAGGGTCCATCCAGGCATCTTTCAAAGTCATGCTGTCTAAGGGCTCTTGAGGTCTCTAATGCTCCAGAACTTCCAGGCGAGGGGTGCTTGTTCTTCTTCTTGCGTCCCTGTTTGGCTAAATCCTGTCTGTGCTGCTCAGGGGTCTCAATCACCTTGGGTTCAGAGGATTCCAGGGCCCTGGGTCTCCTAAACAGGCTATGTAGGGAGAGAAACACCAGGGTGCACAGCACATACATGATGGTGCTGACTAGCAGAGTCACGAATGGGTCCGCCAACACGTTCAGTCAGAGATGGAGTAACCTGTAAAAGACATCCCGGCTGATCTCGTTTCAGGGTCAGTGCCAGCACAGAACACTATCTTCCGGTTGAAGTTACAGTCGTGATATCAGCTCTACTGCGCTGTGCATGGTTTCAGACTGAAGTCCAAAAAGGACAAATTCAAAACCAGTTTTGGAATAAAGTTCCCCAATAATAGTCGCCTTTTGCTTCTTTTCACGCCAGTTCTTTGTTGTATTCACCAGGAAAATGCCTTCTCCATGGTAAAACTGCTCAGTACATGTTATTCCGATGCATCAGAGCTTCTTCTAATGCTCATTTAGGCTGATAATCTGTCCATGATCTGATCGGCAAATGAGATGGCCTCTCACGTCGCCCGAGAGAGGATGAGGGAGGGCTGACTAATGCACACCTGCTTTTAAACCCCACAAAGCCATTTTAACCTACCTGGGCACATCTATAAAGACACACCCTGATAAACAAGCTTATGCAAACACACGCACACTTGCGGAATAATAGAATGAGTAAATGGTTCGCTAACCGGGAAAGGCTTGTGAATGTTTGGGTCCTTATCTTTCACATCTCCATTCCTCTTCTTTGGAGAACTTC